TACTCTGAGTGTTTATGTTTCCCTCTCTGGGTTTTCAGTGTGTTTGTACTGATTTGGTACGGATTTTGTAATGCAGATAGAGATTTTACTTGATTTGTTTTTGAGACTTATTTTATTGCGCTTTTGGTAAGATTAAGTAGAGCATGCTCTGTTTGAACAGTTTCCATGATTTGAAAGCACAGTTGGCTTGGAGATGAGACTTTGTTAAACCAACAGAAACTTGCACTTGAAGTGCTCTGGCGTGCTAAAGAAAATCAGACTCGTTTAAATGGCCTTGATGTTGAATTATAATTAAATGGAAAAATACAACTGCCATGCAATCTTTATGGCTTTCAAAAAAAGTTAATTTCTCCCTGTAGAAAGCGATGTTTACTGCTTTTTCTAGAATTGTGGCATTCAGTTATGCGAAGGTCTAAAAATAGACCTTGGAAAGGATGTATTCAACTGTACAAACAAAGACCCGCTCAGCCAATGCAGGTAATGAGGCTACAAAATGGAAAAAACATGTAGGGTTGAAGACAGTAGAAAAACATTCACAAAAAGGGCACAGGCACCAGACGTAGGACTTTACGTAGCTGGCTGTGGAAGTCTGCGTCGTTGCCTAGGTCCAGCCAATTGTTAAATGTCCTCTCGGTTTTCAGGTCTGGTTGCCACTCGATGGTTCATCGGCTGCGATAATTAGCACATCTGCAAATATTAAAACTATATCTAAGTGCCCATGTCAGACTAACTCATTTTCCTCGTGTTGTTTGTGTTTTCCATCCTTCTTTCACCATTGTAGTGAAATGTTTTTGCGCTGTTACAAAAGCCGCTGAATTGAAAGTCGTCGTCTTTCATTCACTTTTTTTTAAATCCATAATTAACATGTTAGGAGATGTGACAAGGTTGCTCGGTCTAGTCAAACAGCATCCAAAAAGCCACTTTCACTGCAGTGCTTATGGAATATCACTGCTACCCTTCCTGTTTTCACAGTCTCTGAGTACTTTCCTTGAGTTGATCTGTGGCTGTTGACATTGTTCTAAATAAAAATTAAACAAAGCAGCAACTGAGGCCAGAACGGCGGTGATACTGCAGGCATCTAAATGTTGCTGCAATATGGCTGAAGGTTCAAGCTCGGGTTAAAAGAAAACCTTGTAAAGTCGTGGGCTCTATCTGTGAAATAATATTCCCAATGTTTGAAAAATATGTGTGCTTTAAAGCTGATTATAGCCTCTTGTGGAAGAATTTAGATGTTGCTTATTTAGGCTGTACAGCTGGTGACAAAATGACTGCAGAGCTAGTTTAGTAAAACCTTTAACCTTGAAATTTTTTTTCAGTTTGACAGCTGCAACTTGATGCAACAGTAGTTTTTCCTGGGTGATTAATATACGGGCAATCTGGCTGGTGTCAGAAGAGTAGGGCAAAGCTGGTGCACTGTTGATATTGATATTTAGGAGTTTCTTCTTCCTAGATGTTGTTCAAGATTGAAACTGTAAGTGCCTGAATGAGCTACTTTCACGGCATCTTCAAGCAGTCAGAATTTGAGCCCACAAAAAGGCTCTTTGCTCTGCAGGAAGATCTGAAATACCATCTGTTGGCTTGTCAAGCATGGCATTTGAACAGCCCTAAATTCTGTTTTTCAGGAAACTCTGTCAGCCACAGAACAGTAGCGGTTTTCAAGGAGAAGCGCCTTCCCTGAGTCCACCAAAAGACAATGTGAACTCCAGCTCTCCTCCTCAGGTAGGTGATCGCTCTCCAAGGGTGGTGGCTCCGGCTAGCGCAGAGCCAGCAATTGGCTCCATCTGCTCTTGATGGAGTTGGTTGCTGGACGTAGGTCCAGGCTGAGCCGTTCCGCCTGTCTGCGTGCCATAATCACCTACTGCTGGAGGCTGTTAGGTCAATAGGTTGTTGGGGGTTTTGGTTTTTTTTTCTATTTTATTAAGTTAGAGTCTAATTCTGGGTTTCCTCGGCATCTGTTTCTCCTCTGGACATGGTTCAGCGATGGCCTATGGGGAGGATCTCTGACAGTGTGTCTTAGGTTTAGTTTTAAGGGGTAAGTTCCTTTCACAGTGCCTGTATCCCTCTTGGAGTTCCTGGGAGAATGAGCTTGTGTTTTACTCATTACTAATAATTGACTGGAACGAAGCAGTAATAAGTAGCTCCCAAACACGGTTGAGTTATTAAAGACCTTGACCTTTTGCAACCTAATTGCCGTGACAGATCAGGGGCAGGTTGGTCTGCTCTTTGATTTGTTGAGATGCCAGTGCACGGAGCTGTGAAAAGCATGTTTTAGTTGTTTTTCCATGATAATGAACTGCGAAGGAGCTGCGTTTGCTTGCGTGTTAAGCAGAGTCTGTCCCCGCTCCTCTTGGTATCTCTTAGCGCAGGCATTTCTTGCTAGCATTGTGAAATGCCGGCTTGCTTTCTCTGCTGTGGGTCAGCCCAGACAAGTTGAGTATTTATTCTCCTCCTGCCAATGGAATGTGTAATGCCTACTTGTCTGGACAGACGCACTGAGGATTAGTGGCAAAGAATATTAGCAGGTAAAGAAATTATGTGCTTTCTGGCAGTGAGAGGGAGGCAGTTCTCTATTGAGAACAAGAACTGTGCAACTTGTTTGCCAGGTAGCTAATTCCAAATCCTCTCCTGCTCTGCTGTGGGCATGTTCCTGGTGAATAAAGAATGATCCCCTTCGTTCGAGTTAGCTTGGAAAGACGTAATGCTGCTAAGAGTCTGGTCTTGGGTTTTTCTTAAAGTGATTCTGAAAAAATGTAGGTTGAAAAATCATCTCGCTTCTGGCTGTACATATTTTGAAAGACGCAAAGGTCTGTAGGGGATGTTTCTGGTCTCTTGAGATTACCCAGTTGAAACTTTGGGTGGTTGATTGGTTTGGATCTAGAAAAGGCTGGTGAAACAGGGGCAACCAAACATGGAATATAAATGTTTCCAGCAGTGCTTCTAACGTGGCTTGTGTCAGACAGCAAACCACAGACAGCTTTTTATTGTAAGCCATAATTTTTTTGATACTCTATAGCTGTAGTTTCTATTTAGAGAAGGGATGCCTGCTAATGGTTGCAGTCCCAGCAGAGGACTGGGATTTGGTAGTCTGGAATGCAAAATATTTTGGGAAAGTTTAATTGTGGAACGAAGGCAGGGAAAAAGGTTGGTCTGGTAAGTCTAAGGAAGCATGGCAGAGCAGGTATCGCATGCACATTCCACTTCATAACCGAAGAGGTAAAGTTGGTGAAGGTGGTATTTGCTGGTGTTAGAGAAAGGTGAGTAGAAGATGGCAGTTTTTAGGTCTGTCACCTGAGACCTGTAGACACAGTGAATGGCCCCTCCTTTTGGGAGATGGACACTGCTTGTGTTCTGCTGGGAAAGCAGTCAGGGATGTTGCAGAGCCGGTTCGACGTGCTGTCCTTGCCCCTTGAGCTCTGTGGCAGCATGAGCAGCTCCTCTTCTTAATTGCCTTGACAGGTGGGAAGTAGGATTGTTGTCGCTGAGCGGTGTCCTTGAGACCCCTGGAGTTAGCAGAGAGAAATAATAACTGGGGGGGGAAAGGAGTGAATTGGTGCCTCCCTGGCAAAGCAGCCGTGCATCCAGCTGCACTTCTGTGTTTGCAAAAAAACCACATCGCAGTCCTGCCTGAGACATACAGAAAACAATAAAATATCCAAAAGAAATAACCAGAACTATCGTTTGTTTTCTTCTGGGCACTAAATAATCTTTCCTCAGAGTTTCTGCAGCCCTGCGCTGCCAGGCAGGCACACACTGCTGCACTGATGGCTGTCCAAGGTAATTTTGGCTGGCTCAGGCTGGACTGAGCCTGCCAGCCATAGTTCTGGCTCTGCGTTGAGCTCTCCTTTCTGCTGACTGATGGATGGGTTCTTCCGTGGTGCAGCTTCCCCAGGCTAACCCGCAGTCCGTAGGCAACTGCTTGCTGGGAGGTGTGGGCACACAGAGCTCCTCCACGCCCTGCCCGTGACTGTCCAGGTCGGGCTGATGGGGACAGCTGGGAACCACTTCTCTCTCTGCACTTCTTATTTAAGAAAGGGATACTCGGGTCCTGTTGGCCCGTCTGACGTGGCTTTTAAAAGTGCTGCAGATGTCCTCTTTTGCCTTAAATTCTGAGAACTTAACAGTTGACACTTTCTCACCTCTTCCAGGAAATGCCTCTTTCTTGAGAAGAGGAAGGAGTGGTATTGCAAGGGTAAAGTTGTTGACCACAGAGTTGGTAAAATCAGTTGGGAATAAAATGCAGAACTTGCGAATCTCTCCCTGCTCCAGAGGCCTGAGCACATCTTTCCTTCGCAGGGGCTTTGAGGTGCTCTAAATGCCATGCCACGACCAGAAGGACAGATGTTTTTATGGTTGTTTCCATTCTCTGCTAAGTGGCTGGCACGGGGGGAGGGTGAAGGATGGGGTTTTCCTTCTGAAGGGCTAGATTTGAAATAAGATGCAACGAGAGCAGGCTGGGTTGCATGGCCTGTGTATGAATAGTGCAGGAGATCGATAATTGCTGATGTAATGGTGGGTTTCTATAAGCTCTCCCACCGAGCTGCGGGCTCCAGAGCGGCTGTCAGGATTGTCAGGAAGCGGCTTGGGATGGATCAGCTTCTGTAGGACCTGCCGGTCCTGCAGCTGGGGTCCAGGAGCAGCCTCTGAGCTGGGACCCTTGCTGGCAGCTCTCCTTGACAGCAGAGCTCTCTGCAGGGACGCTCCCTTGTTCTCTGATATTGCACCACCACCTAGTGGTAACAGCACCCAGAATTCTGGCCTCGAGACTTCAAGATTTTTTTTTTTCTTTTTTTTCTCCTTTTTTTCTCCCCAGAAACGATCCCAGCCTCTGGAGTTTATCGATCCCCTGGCCAACAAAAAGCCCAGGATCTCACATTTGGCTCATAGAACTCAGCCCACTTTCAACGGGAAACTGAATTCCTCCAACGGGAAGGATGCCCCTGCCCCTGCCCCTGCCCTGCCGCCGGCTCTGCCGGAGTCGGTGAGCTCCAGCTCCAGCCTCCCGGTGCTGGAGCTGCCGAGGCCTCACGATCCCCTTTCGGATGTCAGCAATGACCTGACTCACAACGGCAGAGACTGTGAGAACCCGGAGACGGCTGACAGACTGACTCATCCTTTATCAACAGACTGTCCCCAAACGAGCAAGCACAATTGCAGCTCGTATGTAAAAACCAAGAAAAAATCCAAAAAGCACAAAGACAAGGAAAAGGAGAGAAAGGAGAAGAAAAATGAAGAGAAATGCAAAGAGGAGAAGCAGGACTGTGAAGTAATAAAAAATGCTGACTTAGTTAGTGTTCCCCAGGAACAGGTCACAGGTACGTATGGTCCGAGAGGTCCTCCCGTACGGCTTGTGCTAAGATAATATCGGTATCGGCTGTGTATGATTTCTGCCCTAAATCTGTTTGAGGAAGGAGGTTGCGTGTCCACTTGCAGAGGCTGTGTGGTTAACGAAATAGTATCGCTGCCCCTACCTACAAATCAACAAATGCGCTTCCTCTCAAAAGAGGATATCAGGTTTTTCCTGTTTAACCTTTCATGCTGTTTGGAACTGCCTCAGACCGTGTCATGTTTCTCCTTGTTAAATTAAAAGCCTTATTAATATATGGGGATGAACAGCAGACATCAAGATCTGTTGGAAAAAGCAGCGCTGCTTGATTACTTACAGCTCTTCTGCTTGTGTTTGGTATTGTGATGACTTGTATTGATTTTTAACTCGGTAATGAAAAGTTAGTCACAAAAGCTTTTAATATTGGATACAAAAGAAATGATAGATAAGTCTTGTGATAAACGCTGTTAGAGCAGAGTACAGCCAACTCTTTCAGGCTGAAAGAGCTTCCCTGTTGTATCCCACTATTACTCCAAATTTATTTTTTCGGGGACTAACACAACCGTGAATCCGTTACCTGTTGAGATGCGATGAAAATGTTTTCCATCAAATCAGTATATTTCTAAGTCTGTTCTACATACTCTTACAAGTTAGAGCAGAGAATATATGTTGGCTAATCCGATCCGTTCCCTTGCCAGTGCCTGCAGCTTTCCTGTTTTCTGCTGTTTCGTTAGGCTTTCTTACAACTCCCCAGAGCAGTAGGACTTCCCCTGCAGCCTCTAGGAATATTGCAGTCCCGATCTGCTGTTAAATTTCTTTTTTGCATCCATCTTGTTTTCCTTTGCCCTGTTACTGCTTTCTGATGCTGAGTTCATCTTCATGCTTGGCGCATGAAAATCATCCAATTTTGGCTCAAAAAGGACAGTAACTTGAAATGGAAACTAAATTGTTGAATTTCTGGAAAAGGAGAGCTTCCTAGGGTATTGAGGTTAGTATGATATTAGTTCTCACCTTCCCCACAGTCTTTGTAGCGCCTACAAAACGCATTTTCATTGCTCACCGGTGATTTTTAGTGACCGTCCATAGTCCTGATCATCATGGGGCACTGCAGAACCATGCTCTTCAGATACTTCTACTTTGATCTTAACTTTTTGTGTCAATCCTAGTTTTTTCTGTGGATGTTGTTTTTCTTCCCTGTGTACCTTGCGTCTTGAACGGTAGTGGATAGATATACACACATTCTCTCTCTAGATGCATATTTTTATTAGTGTTTCTTATAAATACCAAAATACCCTGAATTCTTTCTTCATGAAGTTGCTGACCCTTTATCACCTTTTCTGCTTTGCTTTAAAAACACAGTTTAATGACTGGCTCTTTGTTAATTAGTAGGAGTCGAGTTTTGTTCCTGCTGCGCCGCTGGTGTATGCGAGGCAACGAATCTGAGCTGGACTTGGGAGCAATCATAAACAGGATGTGGTCAGTGGCTGCTTGGATCTCGTACAGCCAGCTCGCATCTGAGTTGGGATCTTTTCCTTCTGCGCCTTAACTTCATGCGGATAGCATGGGCCTAATCCTGCTCCTTTTGTCTGCAGCGAATGGCTGGCAGCCTTCCCTACGTCCCCCTTGGGCCAGGGGCTGCAGGGAAGCGGAGTTTCTCCTGGGAGGTTTGTCCGAGAGGCGGTGGAGGGACCTTTGGGGTCCTTCCAGCAGACAGTAGGTGGCACTCATAGGCAAAATAAACCTCCTTTTCTCCCTTCCTCCTCCACGGTCTTCCTTGCCCGTTCTCCGTCTTTCACGCTGGTGGTCAGGTAAGGACAAAAGCAGAATTGTCTGCAAACATCTGCAGTAGGAATTTGAGACTGGGGTGTTTATAATGACACTGTTTTTTCTGCCATTCTTCCATTCTGCTCAGGAAAGCCTTTCTGTGGAATTACAGAGAAAAATTGATTTTTAAAGGGATATAATTAGGTTATTGCTTTTACATGCCTGTGTCTATTACTTGAGCATTTCATGCTCCCTACAGTTTATCTGGGAGAATAACCGTGAAGTAACGTAGGTGAGCGTAGGGATGGGTGAGGCTTGGGGCTCATGCATACCCTTCCTGTGCATCTGGGGAAATTGGGCAATCAAGGTACTGCTTGCTCTAAGTAACAGACTTGAAAACAAGAGGAAAGAAGAAAAACACTTTTGCAAAGCGGTTGAGTGAAATCCTTTGCAGCCTTCTCCACTTGCCTCTCATTTTGCTGCCTTCTCACGGATACAGTTGACTTTCTGACTAGGACTTTCAGTATAACACACAGTTTATGAGAAATATCCCTTTTCAAACCTGTACGCAACTGCTTTCTTCCTCCGAACTAATAAGGCAGTGTTTGGTTTACGTTGAGGATGGAGTCTGGTTTAGGCTCGCGTTCAGAATCCCGTTCTGCCTGAGGTCTTTGGTCCCTTAAACTCCTAAATTTTCTTAGCTGAGCCTTGTTTGAGTCACGTTTCTTCAACTTCATACAGCAGAGAGCACTTTGATTTGTCTGCGGGGCAGTAGGGCTATGTGAGGAAAAGGCTGCACGCCTTATAAAGCTCTCTGTTGTACCCTATAGGAGTCTGGAGTATTAATAGTAGAAATCTGAACCTGGAGTATTAATAGTAGGAATCTATATAGCGTAGAATCGGGAGAAAAGAATGTACACCCTGCGCAGCTCTCCGTTCTGCTCATCTGGACTCATAAATTTGTTTTGCACTTCAGCAGTGGTGATACCAGTGTTATCCCACCCTGCAGGCAGTGTTTATAAACCAGTTAAACTAAGGTTTTTTGCTACTCAGTGCATTGGCTAATGTTGATGTTGTTTTGCTGACAGACAAATACTAGAGAAGCCTTGAAGTTTCAGCCACCCTGTTGTGGATCTTCTATCTTTGTCAGTTCAAAGCAAAACAGAAATCCTTTAGAATTCGATAAACTGTATATTGCAGATAAGTTTATGAATTTGAAGTTTAATTGCATAGAGCTTTAAAGTTTAAGGATGTCTATAAACAAGTTTTTATTTTTTCAGGTTTAAATGGAACATGCAATAATTCTAGCGTACCAACATCAACTTCAGAAATGCCAGATTATTTATTGTAAGTATATTTATCAGTTGCTTCATCCCTTTGGGATCATGCTTCAAGCTAAAAATCACAATGTACTGGGGATTTTTGTTGGACTTCATTGTGACTTGATAGAAGTTTGTGAGGTGTGTTTTTAAAAAAAAAAAAAAAAAAAGTAAATCCAACTCTGCAGATAGTTCCCGAGACTAATTTGATACCAGATCAATTTGATACCAGATCTGTTCTTTACCTCCTTGTGGAGTTCAAGGTTATCTCCCTATAAACCGAATGTTAAAGTACTTCAAGAAACATTGCATACCTTGAAGGGTTTGAAAGGATTAAACATCGCCATGTTACAGCTGGAAACTTTGAGAGGAAATGATCTGCTTTAATGTTATGGAAGACAGGGCAAGAAAGGATTTTGAGAGGTTAGCTAATTCTTCCCCTGTTCAGAGCCAAGATCATCTACATAAACCAATGAAATATTCTTCATGGGGAGGTTATAACCCGTGGGTTAGGATGTGAGTTGTTTCACCTCTTGACTTTTTAATCAGATCCCCTTGAGGTTAATTAAACAATATACTTGTCTGCTGAAGCACGAAAATCCCTGTGCATAAAGCCAAAAATCTGCATAAAACCAAACCTGTTATAAACAAAGCTCTGTGATAGCGAAAAAGTGTAGCTGTGGGTGATATTCCCTGTGCACGTCTCAGCCTGGATTTTTAACACCATCAGATCTGGTTTGGCTGTGCTGTGATCGCTCAGAGGGAAGAGATGGAGGAGGAGGAGGAGGCATCCACTCTTGGCTCTGCAGGAGCAGCCACTGGAGTTGACTAGAGGATATATAGGATTCTTGTACAGTTACAAAACTGTGGTTTGCTGGGCTGTAAGAACCATACAAACCGCTTCAAGTTGACATTTCTAGTATCATTCAGAAGAATGTGGATGGCTGGGGGTTTTAGCTTACAACGCGTGTGCTGATCCCTCCTATAAAGGGGTATTACAGCTCCTCGGTCCATCTCCAAAGCAGTCCTGTAGGGTTTATGAACTCCTGTAAGGTCTGTTGTCTCACCTTTTGGTGTGATCTGACTGTTTTGATGGTCAGCTCCTTAAATTTTAAGAGCTGTCACTGCTGGTTTGATCATGGAGGCATATGTTTCATACTGGCGAGGACAACTTCCTTATCTCATAGTAGTGTATCCTGCGTAGATGCTTATTTATACCATCCCCTAGCAAGGAGTCAGTTCTTGGAGGCTAGAGTGCATTCAGGTTAATGGACTGAAAGTTTTCCCTTAATGTGATACCTAAGTTAGCTTCCATGTGTTCATGCACTGAGCTGGCACTGCTGCAGACAGAGCAAGGTGGCAAAACTGATGGTAAAACTCATCTTTTTGTACATGATGACTATCAGAGAGGACTGGCTGCTGAGCTTTCTGCAAAATGCCAGGTTTAATGGCTTTTCGTTGAGCTGAATAACTTTCAAAGAGCCTCAGAGGCGCAGCTGTTAAATACGAGCTCTTGTGTTCACTTCACGTTGGGTATCTTCAGAAGGTGGTGCAGACAATATTCAGTCTGTTCAGTGTGGTTTCTTGTCACGTGCTTGCCACATAGTCGTACTGCGAGCATTTTGCAACGATAGCTGAATGCTTTTTGTGTTCCTTTAAAGACTTAAAACTGGAAGCATCGTATTCCTGCTAGCACAGATGCAGAACTCCATGTTCTGCGGGACAGTAGGAGTTAGAAAAGCTGTAGCAGTGCTATCTGAATGTCCTCCTACACCCTCAGCTGCTCCCAGGCTTTGCTGTACCTGCATATTCCACCTTATCTGGCATAGATAGGAAATCATGGGAGCAAGCACTGTCTTGTTTTACACAGAGGTCAAGGCAATAATCCTGACAGTTACCTCCGTGCTACCGTAATGCAAATCGTAAGAGACTGTATTTGTTTTCAAATGCAGTCACCTGGTAGAATTGTCATCCTGGTTTTGGCATCGCAGTATTCGCGCTGTCTGGAGAGAAGACTTACTAAACTGATTAACTAAATTATTCTCCCTCCAGAAAATACGCAGCCATTTCCTCTTCGGAGCAGCGTCAGAGTTACAAAAATGACTTCAATGCAGAATACAACGAGTACAGAGACTTGCACGCTCGGATAGAGAGGATAACTCGACGGTTTACGCAGTTAGATGCCAAGCTGAAGCAACTTTTGCAGGGCTCTGAAGAATATAAGGTAGAAACAGAAATAGATCTTTCAAAAAGCTCTTTCTGCGAGCGGCAATGCTACGGCTCGGTTTAGTCGCTCTGTATGCGGGGCTGTTTGGGATGGGTTGGTGTCTAAAACATACTGCCCAGAGCCCCGAACTGGTGGATGCCGAACGTGCACGCAGCTGACAGCTTTGTAGACTGTTCTTAAAACAGCTCTGCGTTCTTTCGTTTTCAAGCTGGAGCACACATCATGGTACTTGTTGACAAGGAAAGGCCTCAGTGAGACAATTGGTGTCTTTAGCCAAAAGCTGCTGGAAGCTATTAGTGTATCCCAGCCAGAAAATTCATATTCGCACATATGGTAGTGTATCGGGGCTGGAAGGGGAGTTAGTACGGGGTCATCTGTTTCTCTGGAATCTTTGATCTTAATAATGTAGCATTATTCGACTTGTCAGACTGATTTTAAAAGAGCTTTAACTATTCATTATCTTGAGAAACTAAGTCTCACTGAGTATAATAAACAGATTTTTACGGAGCACCTACTGTACTAAGCACTGTTTCCTCCCTCAAACGTCCTTCCCCTCTCTTTGAGAAATTCAGTGATTCCGCACTGAATTATTTTTATATCTCAGGGAAAAATTAGTTGGAGCTGTGGAGGAAATGTCAATTATCCTGCCAGCCCAAGTGCCTGTTACAGGTACTTCTCATGGCTGGGGAGTGGGCCTGATCCTTCCAGTGCTTCTGGTGTCAGCACCAGTATAGTCATGGGGTCAGCAAGACTGGTTGTAGCCATCAGATCTTATGGGGGAAGTTATGGAGGGAGTAGATTTTGGGTCAGTATTTGGAGAAATGTGTACATTGAGCCATCAGTAAATGGTTGCCCACTGCAGTAGGTTGCAGGACTGTTGGCTCCTTTGAAAATAATAAGCTATCTTTTCCTTTTTAGACCATCCACGATCAAATTTTACAGGAATATCGGAAAATTAAAAAGGTAAGTAAAAATAGCTGGCCACAAAAAGTCTTTTGGGTGGTGCCCCTAGTGACTGAAAGAGATGGGTACTTGCCAAGTTAAAAAGCCAGTCTCTGAAGCTTTCTAGCAGATCTTTGTTCAGCACGAGCTTGTCCAAAAAGCAATCCCTCCCTGGATCAGAAAGGGTTTGTGGGGAGTTGAGACTGCTCCTTGGATCCTGGGGAGCATTCAGCTGAGTTAGCGGCGTGCTAGCACCAGAAAGAAATGTGTTAAATTAGTGCCTTTGTCCCGTCAAGTGAAAGAACAGTTTGTGTTTCAGATGCGCAGGCTGAGCGATAAGAGGATCCTCCAGGTCTTGGGGTCTGCTGGTATATGGGGTACGGTTTGAGTGCAGTCTCCAAATGAATCACTTGGGTACACAGGTCCCCTGCGGGGCTCAGCGGGGCTTTTTGGTGTGTGGGGCACGCCGAATACTTTACATCTCTGTATGTATATGTAAAAGCAACAGTTGTTGACTGGAGGGATTTATGGTTTAGCTGGATGAGGTAGAAATGCCGAGGCAGGCTGGGGCATCCATACTCCAGGGGTGGGGTTTGGTTTCTGTAAAATCTACGAATATGGCCCTGAGCTCTGCTGTCCCTGAGGGATTTAGGAGCTTTTTGAAGAGATTCCCTGTGTGTTGCAAGTTCATCTTTGTTTTAAAGCTCCCGGACTTGCACAATTGAGTGCTCACATGGGGCAAAGGGCATGCGATGCTTGCTGGAAGCTAATGCGTGGTGGCCCAGCTGCCTCACGTTAGGCTGAGCCTCCCTCAAGGTGCACTCGTTGCCCCGTGATGAGGCTCCTGGAGCTGGGTATTGATGACAAGGGATTTTGTTCTTTGCCTTGTTTGAGCAGAGTAGGTCCATCTTAAATGGGTAGCTACTCCTCCAGCTGGAAAAGCTGCATTCCTTGGTCATACATGTGTGCTCTGAGGCCTAACAGCTTTGTCTGGGTTCAGCATAGATGTCGCCGAGTTCTGGAGAATCGCCTTCCATCACTGCATTTTCATTTTTCTTTACAGACTAACCCCAATTACAGCCAAGAGAAGAACCGCTGCGAATACCTCCACAACAAACTGGCTCATATTAAAAAACTGATAGCAGAGTATGACCAACAGCAGTTTTAGCTGGCACTGATCCGGACTGGGTAGGGCAAAAAAAAGTCACCTGGACGTTACGTTCCCTTTTATACAGCTAGATTCCTTTCAGAGACGAGCATTAAATCCTCGTGGTTGAAGAATTTGGGGATTACTTACGATGCCGAATCTGTCATGTCCGTGTCTGAGCCGGGTCGCAAGCCCAGCGCCCGGCACGGTCCACTCGGGTTTTAGCCTCTCTGAATGTCGGAATGTAACAAATGACAAAATCTGCTTATTTGAAGCCAGCGTTTGACACTTAAGGGAAAACTTGCCTAAAGTGAACGAAGCTCCCAAAGGTTAAGAATCAGTAGTTTTCATGGATTAAAGTTTGGCATGAAGTGTAATTACCCCTGGCCCAGGTCCACTGGGTTACAAATTGTCCTTCAAATGGTGAGGAACTGGAATGCTGCTAGGTTACCTCCTTCTCTGGCACCTGCGACTGTTCATATGCAAGCTGTCTGCTCTACATGGCACCGCGTTAAATACACCAAGTACCCAGAGCTCTCGTTGTTTGTTCCTGCTTTTGTCATCTCCGGTGTGTGCTCTCTTGAGGTGGTTGTGTCAGTAGGAGGGGATCAGCCCGGGGATCTGCACTGAGTGCCTTGTGCAGTGCAGAAGTGGATCCTTCATGTAAAAAAGGGAAAAAAAAAAAAAAAAAAAAAAAAATTTTTTTTTAATCCGCTTGTGCGTTTGGAAGCAGCAGGCGTAAACGTTTTGCAGTGGCCTCTCCAGCATGCGCGGTCCAGTCTGCCTGCATTAACCTTCACGTATCAGTGCTGGGAAGATTGAGACCTGTCTGTCTTTGACTTTTATAATTTTATACCAAGGCAGCCAATTTTATTAATTGCTAATGAGACTATGGTCTATTTTTGTACAAAAAAAAAAAAAAGCATCTTTTTCTAAAACTGTGCCTCCCTTTTCCTTTTAGGCCAAGTGTTTCAGAACCTTTCCTGTCTTACAACTGCAGTATTACTAAAGCTTATTGGATAGTTACCCAGAGAAGTTATTTTATTACCTGTACTGACCCGTAAGAGGGGGGGGGGTGGGGGGGCAATGCTTTCTTCTGGTTTTTGTGTCTTTCCAAAGAAGCAGCAGCAGAAAATCATTCTCAGAACAGGCGCCCGAGCGTGAGAGAAGTAAGGTAGCGTTTTCCCATGCGGGTCACTTCCACTGTTGCGCATTATCTAGCCAGCTTCTCGGTGCGGTCTTTCTTCTTGGGGTTTTTTTTT